TAGCAATTTTGAATTAATAAGTACAGAAATAAACTTAGTTTGGAGTTAAGCTTTTTCATGATTTAATGATTCCTATATTCATAATAATTAAATATCAAGTTGTATTCTGTGTGGAGTCTCAATTATAACATCTTCATAATTTAATTTTAAAATTGCTAACTAAAAATATTATACTCGGTTTGAAATCTTAATTTTTGTTTTATCGTGATTTAAAAATTGTTCCAAATTTTCGAATCAATAGCAGTTCTTTCATGATTTAAAAGTATCAAAATTTGAAAGTAAGTAATATATATCGCTACAGTATCAGTTATTTCTATGATTTAATAGTTATGAATTTAGGAATTAACTGGTACCTATTTGTCCTTGTGTTGGTCTCCTAATTTGGTGTACTACACTAGATGCATGAATTTTAGTGGCACTTTTACATCATCGGTGTGTTGTAAAAGTGGCCCACATCATTACAATAGACATAATTCAGACCAAATAGTCCTTAAAACTGACAAAAGGCATAACTCCTAGTTAGAAATCATGCAATCTAACTCCTAATTAGTCAGCTAAATTGAATTTTTGATGAAATCATACATTCACTGAAACAAATGTATTTGGATGAAGCATATATGGAGCAGATTTGTTAGTGATGTATGTTTAACTTATCTTGTCATCTTGGTTAAAAGAACAGCCAACATCGTCGACATTTGCTAATTACACCTGACATAGATAATGTAAATAAACATCTGTAAATATGAACAGAGAAACATTAAAGGAAGTGCTTGTTTGTTTCTTATTCGTAAATAGATAGGGGCAGCAGCTACGTTCCCTTGTTTGTAATCATACCTGACCTGACAAACTTGTCAAAAATATTATGTAGCTGTTTTACGCGTGGAACCAACTAAAGCATTAGATACACAGTAAATTATTCATGTCAAGAAAAAGATACGCAGTAAAGCCTATTGGTTGCTTATGAAGGATGTGGGAGAATTTAACTTAGAAGTAAATGAATATACCTGATAAACTCCATCCAAATTTATGGCTATCAAATTGCGATACCTTAAAATCTGAAATTTTTACATAGTTTAGAATAGATGAGAAACATGTAAAAAATACTTAATGAAAACTTAAATATAATGAATTAGATCTTGCTTACTTGAGTATTTAAAATAGCAATCATAGCTGCAAAGATCAATCTGAATAGTATCTGCATCGATAAAATAGTGAACTGGAGATCGATCGATGGAGTTCATCAGCGGCAGGGTGTGAAGGAGATCGACGTATGTCCTGTCGTATCGTCATCTTGCCGTGTGTGGAGTTGAGTCCGGTGGCTGAGATCGACATGGACACAGTTTGTAGACTTTGAAGGAAGCCGATATAGATTAAATGGTAGCCCAGATACATGTTTCTCTTGTTGGGCCTTTAATTAAAAGTCCATGGTTATAATATTTAATCTATGGTCATGATTTTACGATCTATTTAATAAATGGCCAGATTAATCTGATTAACGTGGAAGCTTCTAGAAAGTGCCCAATTACCAAGATGACAAGATAAGTTAAACATACATCACTAACAAATCTGCTCCATATATGCTTCATCCAAATACATTTGTTTCAGTGAATGTATGATTTCATAAAAAATTCAATTTAGCTGACTAATTAGGAGTTAGATTGCATGATTTCTAACTAGGAGTTAAGCCTTTTGTCAGTTTTAAGGACTATTTGGTCTGAATTATGTCTACTGTAATGATGTGGGCCACTTTTACAACACACCGATGATCTAAAAGTGCCACTAAAATTCATGCATCTAGCGTAGTACACTAAATTAGGAGACCAACACAAGCACAAATAGGTACCAGTTAATTCCTAAATTCATAATTATTAAATCATAGAAATAACTGATACTTCAGATCAAGTGTAGCGATATATATTAATTACTTTCAAATTTTGATACTTTTAAATCATGAAAGAACTACTATTGATTCGAAAATTTGGAACAATTTTTAAATCACGATAAAACAAAAATTAAGATTTCAAACCGAGTATAATATTTTTAGTTAGCAATTTTAAAATTAAATTATGAAGATGTTATAATTGAGACTCCACACAGAATACAACTTGATATTTAATTATTATGAATATAGGAATCATTAAATCATGAAAAAGCTTAACTCCAAACTAAGTTTATTTCTGTACTTATTAATTCAAAATTGATAAATTATATTATAGCAAATGCTAACAAGAGCAACAAAACGAGTATAAATCTATATTTCTAATATTGAAATTTTAAATTATGTAATTTTGAAAAAATAGAGTAATAGAAGAAATATTAGAATGGATTATATATGAAATTACTAATTAAGATTTTGGCAACTATCAGCTTCATTCAAAGTAACATATTTTATCATTATCCAGTGAAAGTAATAATATTTTAATTATTAGTCACAGTAACCCGTGCAACGCACGGGTTGACGGCTAGTTTTTTTAATATATCATGTCGTTGACTTTTTGATAAAAGTTTGATTATTCGTTTTGTTCAAAATTTTTGGGTAAATATAAAAAATAAGTCATACTTAAAGAACATTTGACGCTAAATCAAGTAACAAAAAATAAATAATAATTATATTAATTTTTAATAAGATGAATCGTCAAAAGTATATTAAAAAGATATTAAAAAACTAGATGATGTCCAGTGCTTTGCTGCGAGATATATGTTAGATAATGGAGAAATAATGAAATGATTTGGATTAAAATATTATAAAAATGATTTGAGAATGATTATCTAGCATGTGTATATTTAGTTTTAGAATGAAGTAACTTGTAGATATAATTACTATATGCTTCCATGTTGAGCTATGTGTGCTTAAAAGGTTGATGTGGCATGCTTGTATGTAGGTTTTAAGAGTGCTAATAAATATTATGATTGCATGTTGAGTTTTAGATGTTTAGTGGGCATTAGCTTTACAGAGGAAGTAGTTTGTTATATTGCTTAGTTATCAGAACCCACTATCTAGATGCACCACTTCTGTCATCAGATGACGATGCTGAATTTGACCACAATCGCAAAATATTGTAGATTATAATGGTGATTGTACATGCATCATGCCTTAGTTTCCTTGCTTTCGGGAGTAATTGCAATCAGTGGCCGTTACACTACTAGAAAAAATATTTTTTATTCCAAACCTCAAAACACAAATATCCCGACTAGATTAAGAACATATATTAAAGATGTTTTAATACCGATTCTAAAAGTTTAAATCCAAGAAACATCTTTAGTTCCAGTTGGTGTTACCAACCGATACTTAAAAAAGCATCTTTAGTACTAGTTAGAAACACCAACCAAGACTAATGCTGGAGAAATTTTAGTCCCGGTTTATATTACTAACTGGTACTAAATATTTTTTTTAGTATCGGTTACCAAATGCCTCTAGGGTTAGTTAAAAAGAAAGTATCTCTATCCAAGTTAGATGTGTGTCGTAGGTGGGATAGTAACTCGTATTAGGACTGAGTGAGAAATCTTAAGTTCGAATCTCGCATCCTACATATCTTTTTTCACTTATTTTGCATTTTTAGTACCGATTCTATCAACCGGTACTAAAAATCTCGATCTTTAGTTTTGGTTGCTATAACCGGTACTAAAGGGGGTTTCAACTGGTATTAAAGATTGTTTCTCCAGTAGTGTTACTATCCTGAACCTGTAACTTCATAGCAACAAATCTTGAAGTTCATCGGTGCCATCCTCTGGCATTTTCTTACCTGATTTCAGTTTGTAAACTATTTTGCTTCATTGATTCCTTTATTTTATTTCTCTGAACAAATCTTGTATTTTTCTAACCAAAATATGAAAGTAACCATTTGTTTCTATCATATTGTAATGGAAAATTTTAAATCAAATCTAACCAAGATAATATGAAGCATTGCCAAAAAAACAGAGAAATTTTGAGCATGCATATAGAGTGCCAGTTGAAGTGAATTTATTTAAATTGAACTTTGCAATGGATGAAGCTCGCCATGTTTCTGTATCAGGTTTAGCATATAATTTCACTTTAAACTAGGTGCATAGAAGTAAGTTTCACTTTAAGGTCAATATAAATCATCAAACATATGGAAATTTTCTCATAAATTCTGATTGAAACTTCATGAAACAGGTCCAAATTCGAAAGTTCCAAAAGATACACTCTTGATTTATAAAATTTCCCTTCCATTATATGGTGAACCTCTAGCGGAAAGTGGAAATTATTCAGAACATTGCAATTTACTCAGAACATTTTGATCTGCAGTTTAATAAATGAAGAGAGATCACAGTCTAATTTTGCTAGAATATCACATTGGCGGGTCATTATCGTACCCAGTGCCAATGGTTACGATGAAAAGACATGTTTTAATTCTTACGTAGAACATAGACTTTCTTACTAACTAGGAGGGGCCACGGACGGGGGAGTGGCGGTGGAGGAGAGTGATATAGGTCGTTGGTGCGTTACTCACCCCCCCCTCCCCGCCCCCCTCCCCCTGTCGTTGGTGCGCTACTCACAGTCCTCCTCCCCTCCTCCTCCAGGGGGAAGGTCCTTCAAAATGGTAGTACTAGTACATTGCTACCCTTTTATTGCTGCCAGTACTGCAAAGCCACATCATAAATATCCTTACTTGTCTAGAAAATGCATGGATGAGGACACCGCCACACGCTGATATATACAAACGGCACGATGGCATAACAATAACGTTGTGGAGCCTAGATGATCGACAAGCAAGAATGACTCAGACAAAGGTATACCGTATACGCCGGTGGAGGAAGAACCAACGAAGATGGAAAAGCGCAGGAAGGCATGTGGGGAATAGATTGGCTGAGAGGTGAAAGAGGAGTGAATGGAGACGCGGGATTGCGTGAGAGATAGAAAAGCTGAACGAAATGACAGGCAATTCACATGACAGATCACCAGGACTGGTATACCAAAACCTTAAGTTTAATTGATATGATCAATTAAACCCTAGATTGTTCAGTTCCGCACATTGTTGTACTTCGATGCAGATACCTCCAATGTTGGTTAATCCAGTCTTCAGCAATAATTTTTATCCTGAAGTACCTGCTATATACAACTTAACAAATAACTAATATATTGGAATGAAAACAACCCTGAGGACCTGTTTGGCACACAAGTTTTGGAACAAAATCACTGTAAATTACAGAGCTTAAAAGTTATTCTAGTTGGTCTGAAAAGCGTTGTTGTTCAGGTGGGTTGCTTGTCATATTCTATAATCGCCGATTGAGCCCAATCCACCGAGAAAAGAAATATCTCTCCTCCTGATAGCACAATGAAAGAATGAGCTAGGAGTCCTAATGAGTAGTATATCTCTGATCTGGTTACCTGGCGATCGAGCCTGCGGCTTCATGGTGAACGGGACAAACGAAGCCATCGCCCGCACTAGCAACACGCGAAGTGAGGCACCCCACAGCTTACACTTGAGGCAGGATCAGCAGGTGCACCAGCATGAAATAAACCGAGTGTCCACGACCTAACTGGGGAGGACATTCCCCGCAAAAAAAAAAAAAAAAAAAAAAAAACTGGAGAGGACATTGCGGCCCATCGGTATGGCGGCACGGCTCCTTATTCTCCCCATGTGTATTCCACACGACATTCAACATGGCAGGTTACTTGCAGCTCCTTTTTGCAGGATTTACCATGTAAATGCAGGATCGTACAACAAAAACTAAGCCAATTAGAGGGGTCAAATGGTTGGAGTAACCAAAAATCAAAATTTTTAACGGAATTAAAAGTTAGCCTCCATTTCTCTTTATAGCTGAGGTAGGTTGCCTAAAACCATGAACCAAACTCATACAAGAAGTCCTAATCCTCTAGGAAACCATGCTGGACGAGAAACAAACTTTATAAACTCCAATTCACAACTACAGAAATGTAGATTGGTACTGGTTGGGAACTACACAAAGGTGCTGGATTTCCCAACCGACACCACGAAAACGGCACTGATGAGAAGACTCCAAGATGCCGGTTTAGGAACCAACACCTTTGATGTATACGATTTGTAAAGAAAAGAGTAAATTTCACTTTGGGCCTGATTTATTGGCCAAAGTTTCACCATACCAGGTATAACTCTACCTTTTCAGTTAACACCAGGTATGATTACCTTCTTTTGCAGTTTGGACTGGGTTTCAATACTTTTGGGCCACCATGTTGGCTTGAGCCTGGTGAACTCAGTTCAGCGCAGAGAGTTATCAAGGGAGACTAGCGCACGGGAAAGGAGGAAGATAGTGTCGTGGAGGTGGGGGTGGAGGTGGACTTGCTCAACGCCTCGATCTCCACCCTCGCCACCGGCGGCTCCCGGCCAAGTCTCCGGAGCAGCACGGCGTGGCGGCGGCGTGACCTTCTCCGGCTCCGAATTGGCATGGCGGCGTGCTCTTCAGCTTCGGTGTGGTGTTGGTGGAATGAATCTGTGTTGTTTCTAAATGTGTATGCAAGTAAGATAGAGCTGTCAATTTTGCCACTAAAAACATGGAAAGAGGTTCCAAGTTCCATATGTACATGTACCTGATCATGAGGTACTTGTGATAATTTCCCTTTCCAGTGCCTTCTCTTTAGTGGTACTTATTTACAATACAATTAGCTAATAATTCCTACTCTAACTTGGTGAGGCTTTTGGAATCCTCCCATTCTGCCGTGAGCTGAAGGAGCAGTGCGTGCACCCCGTTGCCGGCACCGCGGTCGAGCAGAAGAAGAGCATGCCGCCGTCCTGCCGCGCCGGAGCCGAAGAAGAGCATGCACGGCCGCTGCGCCATGCCTCGCCAGAACCGGAGATGTGCACACGGCCACCGCATCGTGCCGCTCCGCAGGCGTAGAAGCCACCGGTGGCGAGGGTGGAGACCGAGGCGTTGAGCATGTCCGCCTCCGCCTCCACGACACTATCTTCCTTCTCTCCCATACACTAGTTTTCCTCGATAATTTCTCTTCCCCGAACTGAGTTCACTAGGCTCAGATCAAGCCAGCGTGGTGGCCCAAAGTCTTAAAACCCGGTCCAAACTGCAAAAGAAGGTAATCATACCTAGTGTTAACTGAAAAGGTCGAGTTAGGCCTGGTTTCATGGTGAAACTTTGGTTAATAAATCACGCCCAAAGTGAAATTTACTCAAAAAGAAAAAACCAGGAGCCGAGCCGATGCTTGAAAGCCACCAAACATAAATTAAAAATCTAAAAAAAGGAACAAGTACACATCACACAATCAACAAGTTCATAGATCACAATAAACAAGTTCATCAATACATCAAGAACACGGTCTAAAAAAACAACATCAAGAACACAGATCAAGAAGTACTCTACCCCTGCCGCCGTCGCCAGATAGAAAGGAGGATAGGGGGAGGGGCGAGCCTCCTTCTCCCCTTCCACTACAGCCGCCGCTGCCTCTGCTTTGGCGAAGGTGTGGGTGCTACCATTGCCGTCGTGGAAGGCCGCTTTTTCCCCTCCCACCGGATCTGGCGAAGGGGAGGGTGCCACCCCTGCCGCATCTCCTCCATCCATCAGAGAATGCAGATGCCTCTCCTCCCGCCGTATCTGGCGAAGGGAAGGGCGCTGCCCCTTCTGCCGTCGGAGGCAGTCGACGCCTCTCCTCCCACTAGATCTAGCGAAGGGGCGGCGGGGTGTGACCGCTACCGCTACCGCCTCCGCCGGGCCACTCCGGCCGCCGCGAGAGATGAGAGAGAGAAGAGAGAGAGAGAGAGAGAGAGACGCGTGAGATAGATAAGATCAAGGGGATTGGAGAGAAAGAGATAATGCCGAGGGCTGGGCTCGCTGGCTTGGCTCGGTTTGTTATAAAACAAAGGCACTTATAGTATAAGTATAGGTTTTTTCTATTTTTAGTCAGTGGAGGTGGGAAAAACACTATATGTGCTGGTTTTAGCTATTCTAGCCCCTATAGTGCCGACTTGTATGTGCCTTTTTTAGTAGTGATTGTACCAAATTTGGACTCCTTCCAAATTCAACTCCACATCCCATACGCACACCATATCTCCGTCGTATGTCATATGGAATCTATACCAACCACGTGCATTGATGTTTAGCTTAAACATCCCACATGATATCCTAATTATCCGGACATCATCTTCTCCCAGGTTGACTCCCGATCCATCACTGACAACGCTCTCCCGAGGCATCAAGACTTACCTACACATGAACCTACAAAGAAGCCATGCATATTGGAGCATAAAATCTCTTCAACTAGACTCAACATTAGCACAACAATATTACATACGCTTGTTAACGACCAAATTTGGTAATATTAGCATCGGAGATGAAGATTAGATCGAAGCGGAATCGAATATAAGGATTGTCGCGGAAACAGAGTAAGAATCGGCTGGAGTCCGGATCGGCTACAACTAGGATCGGCTAAGTCCGAGTCAGACTGGGTTAAGTGATACAGCCGATTCTGACAATACGACTTGTGTACGACATCGGGTTTGAGTTGATAAGCTTCAATATGATTGCCGCGCATGGATAGAGTTCTGAGAAGGCAATTGTATCTATTAATTAGGATATTTTATGTAAATTCTTTAGAGATAAATGTGGGTAAAAGTCTGTCGTAAAGACTTATGGTATCTTAGAGATTGTTAGAGATAATAGTCGTGTCCGATTTGGACATATCTTGTAATTCTTGGGTATAAATAGACCCCGAGCCCTATGTAATTATTAACACACACTATCAATACAATCTCGGCGCATCGCCACCCTTTTACTTTTGTTTTGTTTCGATGAGTTCTTGCTTTTGGGTTGAGCTGCATCGGTTTCGATCTTCAACAAGAGGTAAGACTTGTTATGGCGGCTTGCGTTCTCGGGATTAGTGCTTGCATCTTTATTATACTCTAATCTTGTTTATGTAATTCATCGAGTTATCATATATCTTATATAATCTTTGATAATATCGTCATCTAACCTACAATCGGCTAACATCTGTTAACACAAGGCGGCCGATTAGGTTAAATAGCGACGTTGGCTTAGATTATATCGATCTAAGTGATTTATACTGTCTCGGCATGGCGACCGATCTATCCCAATCACTTGATTTAAGTATATATCGACATAAGGATTATATATTGTTAATATCTACAGCCGATTGAGTAGATTTAGTTCCTTTTTATTCATTTATGGCTATCGATCGATGTACATATGACATCGGCCCAAAGGTAAATGATATGTCATCGGCACTTAGCCGATCGACTATCATTTATGGATTTAACCACGGTTTCTTTGTCTTTATTTCTTGTTGATTGTAGGATCAAATCAACTGGCATGCTCATACATCCGAAGGCGAGTTTTGGACCTGCACTGGAGTTAAGCAGATCTCCCAGGCCTCGTGTTTTCTGTCAATACGCTTTTGGCATGCCTGATAGGACTGATTAGAAGTCAGAGTCACAACAGCAGTTTTCCTCATGGCCGAGAAACCGCCACCGTCACCGTCCTCGGCTAGAGAACCTGATTCTGTCAAAGCTAAGATCCTTAAGTTGGGTCTGTCTGAGGTTGATGAGAGCAACATTATGCCCATCACTCTGGATAAATTGACACCTGAACAGCATAAGGATCTTGAAGCAATGATGCAGCAAGCAAAGAACCAATTTTTGAGTTCATTTACACAGACCCGCAAGGGAACGTTGGTTCAGAAGTATAAATTAATGGTGGTTGCGGATGTTCCTGGGACAGGTTCTTCCAAAGATGGTGAACTAAAACAGGCTCCAGATGGTATGGCTCAGCCAGGTGATCAAGGTGTTGCAAATGGTTCTCAAGGAAATCAAGGCGATGGTTTTCAAGAAGTTCAAGGTCTTGGTTCTCAAGGTGATAATTCCCAAGGATTACAAGGTGGAAATCTTAGTCAGAATGGCAATGCAGCACATGAGCTTTTCAATAACTTCCAAGATCGGGTTGACTATGCCGTGCACAATGCTTTGATCAATCAGTCTGGGGTGTTAGTCAATACCTTGTCAAACATGATGAAATCAATGGTTGATGGTTCAATGGCTGAATATCAGGCTACAGGCCCAGTTTATTTGCAAGGAGGTGTCTTTCCAGATTATCGGCCTCTGATCACCAATACTCAGCCATCTGTTCAAACAGTTCCTCCCAATGCGCCATCAGCTCAGCCGACGGCACCGGTATCGGCTCCCGCACTTGCTGCGTCTACGTCGGCACCAGGCCAACTAGTTAGTCCTCGGTTGTTGATGAGAGAACAACCACAGCATAGGGGGCAGGATGTGAATCGGCTACGCAAGATCAGGTTGCGGCCATGTTCTTACCACCTCAACCTATTGTTGTTCTAGTCCAGCAGCAGCCGATTCAGCAAACACCGCCAAGGCAGCAGTTTGTGCAACCAGCTTAGCAAACACCCCCAATCCAACAGGTTGTGCAACCAATTCAACAGACGCCACCAAGACGGCAGGTTTTGCAGTCGATTCAGCAAATGCCATTAACGCAACAGGTTATTCAACCGATTCATCAGCAAGGGTTAATGAATGCATCGGCTGGGTTTGCAACACCTAACAATCAGCTAGGACAACATGCTCTAAATCAGGTTGTCCCAGAGCATTTAGTTCATCATGTGCAGCCGGACCAGACGGTGGTACCTCAGATTGTTCCTGAACACTCGGTGCGTAATATTCAGCCGAACTACCAGAATTATCAGGGGGGCAATTTGAATTACCAATATCAACCTCCTTCGCCGCAAGCTCAATATCAGCAGGGGGGCCCACTCAATCTCAGTTTGTTCTTCAGTACAATCAATTCGAGCCCAAGCAACAACAGTCGCAAGGAGCAACTCAGCAACGACCGTGGGCTGATGTGATTACCGATGTGATGAGGGAACAGTTCGGGCTTAAGCCGAAAGATGCTGGAAACTTGTATCGGCAACCTTACCCTGAGTGGTTTGAGAGAGTTCCTCTTCCTAATAGGTTCAAAGTTCTAGATTTTTCAAAATTCTCAGGGCAAGATGGTGTGTCAACTTATGAGCACATTAGCCGATTTTTAGCTCAATGTGGTGAAGCATCGGCTGTGGATGCCTTGAGAGTTAGGTTGTTCCGGTTGTCCTTGTCTGGATCGGCTTTTACTTGGTTTTCTTCTGTGCCATATGGATCAATCAACACTTGGGCCGATTTGGAGAAGCAATTTCACAGCTATTTCTACAGTGGGGTTCATGAGATGAAATTGTCCGATTTAACAGCAATCAAGCAAAGGCATGATGAACCTATGCATGAGTATATCCAAAGGTTCAGAGAGATGAGGAATAAGTGCTATAGTTTGAATTTGACTGATGCCCAGTTAGCCGTTTTGGCTTTTCAGGGTATGATTGCTCCGATCAGGGAAATATTCTCATCTGAGGACTTTGATAGCTTGTCACATCTTATACAAAAGGTAACCCTGCACGAGCAGAGGTCTGCAGAAGCCAGGAAGAACCCTAAAAGGGTTAATCATGTTTGTCCTTACATATATGGATCGGATAATGATGATGATGACTGTGAAATAGCTGCAGCTGAATGGGTAAGAAGTAAAAAGGTTATACCATGCTAGGGGGTAAAGAATTCTAGAAAAGAGGAGAGGTATGACTTTGATATAACCAAGGCTAACAAGATTTTTGATCTGTTGCTCTGAGAGAAGCAGATTCAACTCCCCGCTGGTCATACGATTCCATCGGCCGAGGAATTAGGCAAAAGAAGGTATTGCAAGTGGCATAACTCTGGGTCTCATTCTACTAATGATTACAAGTCTTCAGGCAACAAATTCTAGTAGCCATTGAAGGAGGCAAGATCAAATTTGATGATTCCAAGAGGCCGATGAAGGTTGATGGTAATCCTTTTCCTGTAAACATGGTGCACACAGCTGGCCGAACAGCTAATGGAGGACGTACAAGAGGTTTTCAGGTGAATTCGGCTAAGATTATAAACAAGTATCAAAGGAAGTACGACAAGCAACAGGAGAGGCGTTATGAAGAAGATAATGGTGGTTTTGATCCTCATTGGGGTTGTGAGTTATTTAGGTTCTGCTATAATGAGGGTATGAGGCTGCCATCTATCGAGGATTGTCCTGGGTGCAGTAATGTTGCAGGGAGATCAAGCCGATCGTATGATGGAGGCAATCGGCTGAAGCAAACAAGAGTTCCTATTCATCAAAGGTTGGGCCCGGTGAACCAAGACTATAGCCAAAAGGATGATGGAGACAGGAAGATTCAGTGGTGTCCTTCTGGTATTTTTACAAAAAATCAAAAGAGAAGGGTTCAAAGGTTGAGGAATAGAGAATGCTTTTAGGAGGTTGAGCAGGAAATCAGTCATCGGCTGAAGACAAAGCCGAGGCAGGAGTGGCGCGTTAAGAATCAAGCTCCTGAAGCCGATGACGCCACAGCCGACGAGGCGAAGAAGTTGGCAAAAGGGAATAGTGTTGTAACGGCATCAGTTAACATGGTTTTTACCTTGCCAGCCGAATTCGAGATCAAACAAACCGATGTTGACAAAGTAGAAGAAGAATCGGCTAAGTTGGTTCTATCACCAGAACAAGCAATCTTTGAGAAGCCTGAGGGGACAGAAAATCGGCATGCTAAACCATTGTATATAAATGGCTATGTCAATGGGAAGCCGATGTCTAAGATGATGATCGATGGTGGGGCTGCAGTAAATTTGATGCCTTAAGCTACGTTCTAGAAGTTGGGCAGAAACGCTGAAGATCTCATCAAGACAAACATGGTGCTCAAAGACTTTGGTGGCAATCCATCGGAAACCAAGGGTGTTCTA